TCTACCTCCTTTCCTTATGATTTTTGTGTGTGTATGAAGAATCATCATTGTTGAGCTTGAAGCTTCTAGATTTGAAATTTTATTTTGAAGATTTATTGTTTGATTCGATGTGGATGCTATAAAATATTGCTTATAGTACCTTCGAGTAAGCTTCCCAAATTTGAATTTTATGTGTGTTTGAATATACACCATTGTTGGCTTAAAGCTCAATTTTTGTTTTTGAAGATTTTTTATTTAATTCAAAGTGGGTGTTATTAAATATTGCTTATAGTACCTTCTGGAAGTTCATACTGAAATTTGATCACATTTGAAGTTGATTTGAGATGATTGAGATCGAATCTTTCTGCTGAAAATCGAAGATGAACAGAGTTACTTAATAGTAAACTGCTACTGTATACAATATATTGTAGGAGTATATAGCTATATTGTAGCAATATACTATTATAGTATACAATATACTGCAACGGTATACTATAATAATCGAAGAAGAACACGGTTACCTAAGAGTATACCATTATGGTATACAGTATATTGTAGGAGTATATAGCTATAATGCAACTGTATATTGTTAATAGTATATAATATACTGTAACGGTATATTATAATAATGTACAATATACTGCAACAGTATGATGTAATAGTATACGGTATACCATAATAGTATACTATTTTAATGTAATAGTGTAATGTTGAATGAAGAACATAAAATATCATTTTCATGTATTGTATGCTATTTTGGTATATAATATATAATTCAACAGTATATAGTTTTTTACAACAACAACAACCCAGTAAAATCTCACTAGTGGGGTATGGGGAGGGTAGTGTGTACGCAGACCTTACCCCTACCCCGAAGGAATAGAGAGGTTGTTTCTGAAACACCCTCGACTCAAGAGAATAAAAAGACAAGAGGAGACAATATTTGTTTCACTACAGAGATCATAGAAAAAATAGGAACATAAAATGCAGAAGAAAAATGCAAAGCAAAAACGATGGCTAGTAAATAGGTCTTGCACCGAAAAGAGAAAATAGTAAGACACGACATTGCAACTTGCTATCTTAGAAAAAAACCCTACCAGACTAGGCTCACAAAGGTACAAAGTAAGGCAAGACTCAACTATCTCCTAGCCTACAACCGTAATACTCGACCTCCACAATAATATATTATTATAATATATAATATGATGTTATAATTTATTACATGGCAATCACGTGTTGATTCTTAAAATCTGATTATGTAATTTATGGTGCTTAGTAGCAGTCAGTGTGATATTCAGTGAATTAGATCAAGTGACAACTGATATTATTTTAATTTAATAATTGAATTTAAAAAATAAAAATAAAAAAAGACAAAAGGTATAATATACTAGTTATATTTTTGAAAAAAAAAAGGTGAACAAAAATTAGATTATGAAGAGAAGAAAATATAAAAAAAGAAGTTAAATAAAATTAGAAAAGGAAAAAAAAGAAAAAATAAGAAGAAAAGGAGAAAAGAAAGAAAAAGGGAAAAGAAACATAGAAATAAAAAAGAATGGGAGAAAAAAGAGAAAATTCCCCATAAAAACTACGGGTGGGAAATATAATTAATTGGTGGGTAGAAAAATAAAGGGGTAGACAAGGATAAATAGTTCTGTTTTTATGGGTAACTGTCATTCTCCCAATTTTACATGTATACACTATTTCTATTTTCTTTCCTCGTAGCCAAACAACATTAGTAAGAGAAAAACATTAGGAAAAACTTTTCCTTTTTCCTACTGTTTGACTTTCTCCAAACTAATAGCTTGTTTAGTCGAGCTTCCTTTTGACCAAAAATATTTTTTCGGATTAAAAGTATTTTTTCAAAGTTAAGTGTTTGATCAAACTGCAAAAAATATATATTTTTTAGTAGAAGCATAAAGAGTTTTGAGAAGTAAAATGATAACTTTTTTCCAAAAATATTTTTCTGAAAGAAAAAAATACACTTAAAAATATTTTTTAAAACCTTTAATACTAATTGCTCTGGTTTTAGAAAATTGGCCAAATAGGCTATGAGCCTTAGTTCACCGGCAGGTAACTCTACCATATCAATACTCTCTTCTTCTTTTTTCTCTCTTTTTTTTTCATAGGTTGGATAAGATAAAGCGAGAGTTGTGATAAACCCTCTCTATTCCTCAACACTCCACTCTCGAGGGTTTTAGAACAAATCTACCAGTCCCAGCTTCATCTGGGTTTAGGAAAAGGGTAAGCTTATTTTTCTATGAAACCTCCTTTTGCGTTTTGGTTGCAAAATATTTCTCATTTTATTTCGTTTTTTTTCATAACATGTATAGATGGGATCCCTTTTTTTTTTTCCTTTTTCTTTTTTACTCCTTTTTGCTTGAACAGAGTCTCTCTTTTAGAATTTAGTACTCCCTCAACTCCATTTTTATATCAAGGTGTTTTAATCGAATATAGAGTTTGGATGTTAATCTGATTGTCTGTTATATTTGTGCTAGTGAATGTTGAAATGTTAGTTTAGTAGAGAAAATTGACATCAAAATTTGAAATTTGAGTAAATAAAAATTTTTGGATGTGAAGGTTCTATAGAATCATATAATTAATAAATGGTGTAAATATTCTAGGAACATCTCGAATGAGGAAACTGTATTTCAAATATGAAGGGGGGTAATTATTTTGCCGGAAGTGGATGGGACTGCTCTTCCCTTAACCAGAAATCTCGGGTTCGAACCCTGGGTATGGAAAAATCTTTGTAGGGAGTGCTTCCCCCGTATGGGGCCCTAGGCGGCACGAATCCGAATATAATCGGGCTCCAATGCGGGTACCGGACACCGGGTTGAAAAACTACAAAAAAATAAAGACTTTGGAAAATAACTGATATAGGCTAGAACTTAACTAAGTCAACTGCTGGTGCAAACCTGAAATTTTGCATTTGCTGTAATATGTGCACTAAGCAAGGATGAAAGTTGAAACTATCATTCCAAGCCCCCAATAGGTCAGATTGATACCATCTTGTTGCTACTGAGCAAACCTGATCTTGAATAGGCTTCAAATTTTTACATATTTCTTTGGGAAGGACGAGATAGGGGCCAGTTTCTCCCCCAAGAAAAAAGGTTTTCTTTTGATTTTATTAGGTCAAGGCGACTTACTTTTATGAACTCAGAAACAGTTGGGCAAAGCAGTAATGTACTTCCATATACTTATACATTTGTTTGTTCTGATAAGTACCTTTGACTAGAAGATTCGAGATAAAATGCATAACTTGCTATAAAATGCTCCAGACATATGATATTTGATTAGTTGGTAATACTTTAAACACGAATGAAGGAGCTTTAAAGAAGATCAAATTAGGGCTGTGGCAGTTCATTTGATTGAGATTCCTACATCAGGACTATCTATAAGTACTGAATCATAATCCATAAATCATGTTAATCATCCTTGTGCGATTTGTACGAGTAATTTGAGATTCCTGTATTTCTCTCGGACATTATGTTGGAAGATACAAGCAGTAATTGTGTGTATTTAATATGCTTGCTTTAGACTAACTTCTGCTGACATTGTGCAGCAAGGCCGGCTCCTTTTTCTTGTGATAGCATTACATTTGTATCATATGGCGAGTTTCATAACAATGCCTGCTTTAAGCTACTTATCCACCAACACTAGCAGCCTAGAACGAACAAATTTCCGTACATCCTCCAGGAGATATCAAGGAGTTAGAGCAATGAGGACAGAGAAACCACTGGAGGAGTTGTATAATGTGAGAGTAGAGAGAAATGTAACAAAAGATCGACTAATGGAGCTTGGAGTTCCACGATGGTCAATGTGGAAAACTGGCAGATGTAAGTTACCTTGGGATTGGCATGTGGATCAGTTGGTTTACATTGAAGAAGGTGAGGTAAGGGTGGTACCTGAAGGAAGCCAAAGATTTATGCAGTTTGTCGCGGGAGACCTTGTTCGGTATCCTAAATGGTTTGAAGCTGATCTCTACTTCAATGACTTCTACCAAGAGCGATATAGCTTTCGAGCATATGGAGATGGCTAGTGAATTAGTTTCCTGCAACTAGGTTCATAAAGATTTTAATTTCCCGGTTTTTGTGGGGCAGTTCACTTACTATAAGTTATTTGTTTCATTAGCATATTCAAATTGCTGTTTTTGTAATACAAATGGCAGAACATGGTCTGTCTATATGTGTTGGTGGCCAGATAGCATTCAGTTTAGTAACCTTAACTTTTCCTTGGCCCTAGAAATAATATGTTGCACTGTGATCAACTTTCTAATCCATCTGAGATTGTTTTGCCCGTGTTTATAACGGACTGCTCAGGGTGATAAAAAGTCTTTTTCCCCAGCTGGTAGACATCTGAGACATGATATACTGCAAGCTGTTACTTCATCATCAGTGTTCTATTGGGAGGTTTGATCAGAATGTATATGGCACCAGACGCCAATAATAATACCAATATTATTATCCGTTACTTTGAGATTGTTTTTCATATAAGTGCATTCTGCATACGCTTGGACCTTTAAGCTGTATTTGTTCTGCCTTGTGGACAGAAAAGATAAAGCACCACAAAAAAAGGATTTGTGATTTTTTTTCTTAACAGTAGAACAAAAACAATAAAGCTCTTTAACTTAACAAGCCACAAAGGGAAATATCATAAACTCGGCATATTGAACTGCTTTAGTAGGTACAAGCATACGGAGAAACTTGGAATATAATTCCCCTATGCAGTGTTTGGACAATATGGAGGGAGACAATCTGCCTCACCGGAAGACATATATATATATTTAAGAATGCTTGTTTGACTACACTTGCTGGTGTTAATTTCTTTTTCTAAATGATGTAAAAACCTTTGTGGAGTAGATGGAGTTCATGGGCTCTTTACATGTAAGAAACCTTTGTGGATCACTGGAGTTCATCATGTAATAGCACCTGTAACAGGGACAGTCCCCTCAAAAGGTTTGCAATTTACAGTACTCCCGTAGTGCTCAAGATGCTATTGCTGAAATTCAAAATTGAGCATCATATCACCAAATAAATATTCCTTCTTTCAATAAATATAACCAAATAAATATTGCTATCAGCAAGAATCCCAAGAGTATATCTGAGACCTTAAGTCTTTATAGTACAAACGCCCCGTGCAGATGGGACCAAAAGCAATGAGCCGAGCACACCAGCTTCTCAGCCCCCCCAAAAAAGCAGAAATTAAGAGAAAAATAAGAGAAACTTGGTATCCACAAACCCCATTTTCACCTTCAATGTCTGGCGGCTAAGATCATTACCATGGATGTAGCACCAAGTAACAAAATACAATTCTTGGGCCCACATCTACGGTTCATCAACTAATTGAAAATAGTAAATTCTAGATTAGCAAGCAAGCTTTCTTCAACTACCCATATTTGTCCGTGAATTGTTGCTGGTAGCAATGACGACAGAAGAAGCATATCTAGAGACGAGCACAGCTTCATTACTCACAAAGTTGGAAGCTGCTACATCTTCTAAACGTTTCCAGGTCAATTCCCGTCTCTCCTGCATCTCCTTGCTTTTTATCTCATCTTCTTGGAATTTCTCTAAACACTCATCAAAAAGTGCTTGATCAGCATCTGAAAATATCTTCCTCACATTTGATGTCAGACTTTGAACAGCTTGGTTCCAGTGACCATTGGTGTTTTTCTCCAAGGGGGGGAAAATTATGGGTAAAATCACTTCACGATTCTGAATTATTAGGTTTCTAATGTGATCGTTATTCCACAGGAATAGAGCACGTTCAGCTACCTGCCAATTCAATGTGAAATGGAGACATTCAGCAGAATAGACTTATGCAAATGATGATTCTAGAAGTAACAACTTGACAATCGTTTCCAACAGGAAATATTGCCAGGGTGTATTTTGAGGCTTCTTGCAAATAAGAATAGGCAATGTGTATTTTGACGTTTCTCCAACAAGATTAGGTTGCTTTATTATTCTGTTAACAAAGAACACATGCAGCTTGAAATTATCCTCTAGGTTGTAGCCATTGATGACACAATCCAATTCAAAAGTGACTTAGAATCATAATACAGAATCAATAAGGAAATTGATAAATGGCAGTGTTAAAAAATTAGGACACCTTAGCAGAACAAGAGAAATGAACCATGAGAAAAATATGAAAGAAACAGAGGCAAAAACATTTGACTAACAATTTAAAAGATTCTTTAGACTGATCACTGGAAAAAGTCAGGGAAGGCCGCGATGCCCAAGCCAAGCTATCTAAGTTAAATCTTCCATTCAAATTGTCTTTTTTATAAGGTAATAATTTTATTGATGTAGTGGGGGGAATCCAAGGCATACAGGGTAAACGAAAAGTAGATAACCTTGTCCAGAAAATTGCACCAAAATCAATCCTAATTGGACCTCATGGATGCCCCAAAAACTAACTAGAAGCAAAAGGCATGCCAAAGAGCTCAACTATTTCTTTATGTCCATATAACCCACATAAGGGCCAAAGGTTACATCCCAGCTCTGCATCTCAACGTTAAAGTGTTTCAAGGATTAACTCACCCCCCCCCCCCCCAAAAAAAAAAAAAAACTCCCCAACCCCAAAAAAATTACGTGAAAGTCAAGAAAACAATTGTCCACCACAAAAACATTGTAAAACAGTATACAACAACTAAGCCTCAATCCATAGCTAGTGGATTTGGCTGTACGGATCCTGAATATCCTGAATGCTTTATTTGGGTCATGAAATAGTTTTTTAGGAAAGGGAATGGGTGCCTATTCACAAGGAAAGCATGTTCCAACCATGTCTTAGAATCTTTTTTCAGCTTTCACACTCGAGGAATTCCACATTCTGGCTAGAAATGGCATTTATCATTTACTTCTTTTTTCTTTGAGATCATTTATGTTTTCAAGTTAACTAACAACATAAAAGTCTTGCCTTTTCATTTATAGGTGGAACAATGATCCACTTAGTTAGACGCTCTATCAAGCTTAGATCCTAGAGAATATCAGAAAAGCGCTGAGGAAACTCAGCCAAGGAGAAATAACATAAATCACAAAGGAGATAGCACTCTGATCATGTGTTGTCGCTAAACACATAAATCACAAAGAAGATTAGCACTCTGACCAAGTGTTGTTGCTCTACAGAACTCATAAATCACTAAAAGATAATAGTTTTTCAGGATAGAAGAGAAAACACCAAATACTACCTACTGTCCCTTTTCCCCATAGATTTTACTCATCCACTCATGGCAAGCAATACTTTTACACTTTCTGCACTAGCTTTTGTTATGCTTATGATGAATTGACAATGTTTGAAGTTATCATGCAAGTATCTCCTTCACTTCCTCTTTGATTTACAAAAGGCTATACACCTTCCATCTCATTTAGGAACCTGCTTTCTATTTTACTCCATAACAAATTAAACCTCTTTTCTGATATGCCAAAATTAACATTGCCAATCGTAACAATACTCTACACATACTGGTAGCAATAATAGTAGTAGCAACAATTATAGAACAGTTGTAGTAAATTGTTCTAACTTCTACCTCAAAGTTGCACAGCTTTCCAACATGTGCGAAAATCTTGTGAGCAGAAACAATCCACAAGAGTTTAATCGAATTCGTTGGTGCTAACAAGTCAAAATAAATACAAGCTGAAACTCAACAAAGGAATTTTGCCTTATCTACTTGATACCACAACCAGGGAATGTGAAGGACAATACTTAAATTCTGCTTCAAAATGAGTGACCTTAACCGTGAGTCATCCTTGATCAATCTTTCTTGCCTACTGCTGGAAAACTAAGAGCATGTAAATAATGTCTACGGAAACCATCCATCAACATATAACATGTCAAGGTTATTGGATAGACCTGATCTCTATTGGGAAAAAAGTAACTTTAACAGAAGCTTTAGCATCACAAATAGCTCGTGAATAATCTTTATGTGTGTGTGTGTGTGTTATTACCTGCATATCTGTGTCTGTGTCATATAAGGTGCCTAAAATATGACAAGCTGCTGAGGCGAGCTGTGACAGCTTGAACCGAGTCTGATCATTTCCTCAATACTTCGGCAATCACAAATATTTTTAATGTACTTTTCAGTAAACAACGCTTGCTAGGTAGACTGGTTATTCTTTGTTTCCTATTTGCTAATTTGGTATGAGCTATATCTGCTATTCAGGTGGATTTGCAACTCTAACTAATATTAAAACTTAGATTAATTGCTTAATTGAGCCGAGGGTCTTTCGGAAACAGCCTCTGAGGGTCTTTCGGAAACAGCCTCTCTACCCCTTCGGGGTAGGGGTAAGGTCTGCGTACACACTACCCTCCCCAGACCCCACTAGTGGGATTTTACTGGGTTGTTGTTGTTGTTGTAGATTAATTGCTTAATACTACTCCCAGTTGTGTATCTATCTATTTAAACTGAATGTTTTTTGATCTTTTTGTCCTTCTCCGTTCATATGATTGATGATATATCACTTGTAAGTTGTAAGCCAGTCCTAGAACCTGGAGCAAATGTGCTCTTCAAAAAACCAACAGCACAAGGTTCCTAAACCTATGGACTGGTCAAATTGAACGTTGAATAGGCTTCCAATCAAAGCAAAAAAACGATACTAACTAAAAAGAATGGTGACGCTTTGTGCATCATCAGCCTGTCAAAAGAAAGTAATAACAAAACCTTTTAAAAACAAAAACAGAGAAAACAAAAAACAGAATAACATGAGCAATAATAAGCATATACCATTATTTCAATTTTAGTGTTTCATAATCATTCAGACATGACAAGTTCGCCAAATGGAATACCTCGTCATTTCTTCTTTATTATCATTCAAAAACCCACATTTGTGGTATTTCTTCTTTATTATCTTTCGAATTAAGCTACACTGAAATTATACTTTCCTCCATGCAGATACTGAAGATATGTATCGTTCATCCCGCAATTTGTCATCTCTCCAAGACAAACATACTGAAAAAAACCAATCTCAATCCAGCAGCAAATTTGTTATTAGTTCAGCTAATTCAAATTAAAAACTGAAGAGATCAGTCATTATGCTCCTCCAAATATTTAATAAACCCACACTCCACCTTGAGAATTCGCAAAGTGCGGGAGACCCACAATAGGCCCCCTCATCTAACGAAGCATCGAACCATAAAGATTTTTTAGCTTGAATTGCCAAGAAAATTGAGGTAGAAACAGGGACCAACCCCAACATAAACTGAGAATTTCGAGCTAACAAAAGATGAAATAAAAAGGACCAGGATATGATACCTGAAAATGCGAGCTATTGAGACAACGACCAATCTGACGGAACAAAGGGACCACACACCATTGAAACTCTGCAGCTTGGGTAGCTTCCAGAACTTCCTCCAACTCACCAAGAAACATGACCTCCTTGCCACTATTGGTTACTGGCCAGTACTTCAAAAGTCCTCTAATCACAGTATCTGCCAACTTGCAGTCTTTCTCCACAAATTGTGTGATGCAATACATGAGTTGTTGGTGATACATGGCTACACATTTAGGTTTGTGAAGGGGAATCAATGCACGGACAAGAAAAAGCTTGTGCTCTTCCTTTAAAGGCAGAGCAAACCCATTAATTATACTGCCCAAGATCTCCAATAGTTCTGCTATTCCATTGTGCTTCTCAGTCTCAAAGATAAATCGGTAGAATATGTTATTTATGGCTTTCCTGATAAATGGCCTGTGCACCATGAACTTCCCATATACGCGATGAAGAATTGTCTTCAAGTATTCCCGCTCTCGTTGGTCCTCTGAATCAAACAGTTCAAGCAATTTCAAGACAAAAGAGTGGTCAATGTATCTTTTTGCAAGCTTAGCATCCGTCTCTGATGAAGCCACAAATCGCAGAAGAAACTCATAAACAACCTGAAGGTGAGGCCACGAGGGTTCCATAGTGGGCTCATCCTCTTCAGGATCAAACATATCCAGTAGCCCATTGTCATGATTCGGCGAGGGAAATGTCCTAAACAAATTGGCAGCAACCATTTTCGTTATTTCTTGCATCGTAACTTCATTAAACTTGGAATTCACAGATGAAATATAATCAACTAGTTCAAGCAATGTCTGCCTCTTGACATCCTTCTCCTTCAGATTCTTCGTAGGGTCGCCAAAATCAAACAGTACACAACACATTTGCAACTTCTTAATCAAAAGATTTTGCTTTTCTGAACTTGGGACATCCCGAAAACTTGGAAGAACCTCATAGGAGGATAACATGGAGTTCATAACAGAGGTTCCAGCCTGTTCATTAACCCGGACAGGTTTTTTCCCTTGATTCGGCTTCACTGGGACATGATTCCCATTGCTAGTAAGCTGAGACACACCGGAACTTGTTGAATTAGACATTTTCCCCATATTTCCCAACCCCTTTGAGTTATTACTACTATTAGAGCTCGAATTTGAGTTAACTGATGAGAATGCTGAAACTTCACTGTGATTCGAGTCACTGTTAGATGATGATGATGATGATTTTGACGGCTTCCGGGGAAGCTTCCCCAAAATCTGCTTAAACATGTCCACAGAAACCCCAAGCAAAAAACAAAACACTACCAACACTAGAACTACACAAAATGTGCATATAAACGCCACAAAAATTGCAACTCTGTGGATTCAAATCGGAACACGTCCATCCCATAGTAAGGCCATGGAAGGGCACAAAAGTAATTTGCTATATATTGAAACAGACCACAGGCTTAAGTCATACCTTTGAAGAGTTACTGAAGAAAATCAAATCAGCTATCGAAATGGCTCGAATTCCCATGCCGGAAATTGACAACACATTTTTGCCGCTATATTTGCCTTTGACGATCGACGAATTGAATAAAAACAGAACGGAATTTGAATTTAGAAAAACCCTAGAATTTTGAACTATGGAGAGTGATAAGGGGAAATATGAGCTAGATTTTTTTAAGAAAGAGGGAAAATATGGCGAGAAAAAGGAATAGTGCAAAATAATACTTGTACATAATAGTGGGACTGAAAGATAAAAAATCAAATAGTCAAAGGGCCCACATGTTCACAAGATGGGCCCACAAACAGACAAATTATGTCATGCTATTCGTGCTCCGAGGTTGCCTATTTACGCCTAGTCAATTTATGTTTGACTAAAGGTTTGAAATGGGTGGATTTTTATACGGAACTCATTTCGAATTTACTTGAGTAAATTAATTTCGTCAATATAAGTGGGCGTTTGGATATAAGAACTGTAAAATTTAAGAAAAAGTGAAGATGATATTTGAAAATAAGAGTTGTGTTTAGACATGAATATAATTTAGGGTTACTTTTTGAATTTTGTGAGTGTTCTTAGTGAATTTTGAAATATAGCTTTTTGGAGTTTTTCAAATTTTCAAAAAATTTCAAAATTATCTTCAAGTAAAAATTGAAAATTTTATGACCAAACAATAATTTCAAGAAAAAGTAAAAAAAATTTCTTATAGCCAAACAGGCTCCAAGTTATTAATCAGTTCTACTCGAAGTTATTCTTCGTTTGTTCATTTAGTTTATAATAAGTTTAATTTCTAAACAGAAAAAATCTTTAATAATTTGAATAAAAATATTTTAAAAGGGTTTCATTTGGATCGACGAGTTAATAAATACTTTCTAAGCCCAACTCGCTAATTTGACGAAAAACTACAAAAATAGTCATTTGGCGGACTTGTAACTGAAAAATAGCTACATAAAAATTCATTTGATTTATGATACTATCATGGTGTTTCAGCACTAAAAATGGTTGGTTTTTCAACGAATTTTCAAGCACGACTATTTTTCAAAAATTGAAACAAAGTGACTAACCCGTATAATTTTTCCCTAATTTGGATATATTAGACAATTGTAGAGCCCAACTCGCTAATTTTGAAGTGACCGTCGAGAATAGCTACTTACCTAGCGTTTGGCCATACATCTCAAATTTATTTTGAAAAATTTGATTTGGGTGAAGTTGGGTTTGAAGATGAAAATGTGTTTGGACATACGTTTTCAAAACATATTTTCCAACTTTATTTTGGAAAAACATGTATATAATTCCCATGTTTTGGGATTTTGGCTAATTTTGGGATTTGAAATTTGGGATTTGGGATTTGGCCAAAATATGGGCAAAATTTATGGCCAAACATGAGTTTTGAAAATAAATCCCAAATTTATTTTGGCAAAAACTCATGGCCAAACGGGGCCTTATTTGGTCGTAGTAGATGATAATCCGTTTGGCTAAGCTTTTAAAATAAGCTTATTTTGGAAAGAAAAAAAAACTTAAAATTATTTATAAAAAAAAATTGGGTGAAACAGTTTGTGTTTGACTAATTAATTTGAAAAGCACTTTTGAGCAGCAATTTAGCGTTTGTCCAGTATTTAAAAAGTGTTTCTAAGTGTATTTTCTCAAAATGCTTTTCAAAAAGTACTTTTGGAGAAAAGCTATTTTTCTGCGGGAGGTTTGCAATCGTACCCTATATATGTGACACCTTTTAACTTGTACCCTATTTTTAAAAATTATTGATTTGGTAGTCAGTTGACAAAAAATCCGTAATAATATGACAATTACACCCCTGATAAATCTCGTGATCTGCAACCTCATTCATGAAATGCATGTTGAAGTTGTTTTACATTGAAGCATTAGCACGCTACTTTGGAGATGACCTCATTTGCATTAGCAACTGTAAAACAACCCCTGATAAACGTAGTAGCATGCTCACGTTTGGAGATGACGTAGTTTTACAGTATCAGGGTTATTCATTAGCATGCGAGTTGGTGTAAAACTTCAGCCAATTACAGTAGCAGCTGAAGTCGTTTTACATTGAAGCTAAAACTTCATGCTAATGCATGCTGAAGTTATTTATCCTGCAGTCTACAGTTTTGTCATGAGTTTTATTCGAAACTTCAGTCTAAAGATACTGAAGTTATTTAGTTCATTTGCTAAAACTTCAGTTTAAACATGCTGAAGTTATTTAGTTCATTTGCGAAAACTTCAGACTAAACATGCTTAAGTTCATTTGCTAAAATTTCAGACTAAACATGCTTAAGTTATTTAGTTCATTTGCTAAAACTTCAGACTAAACATGCTTAAGTTATTTAGTTCATTTACTAAAACTTCATGCCGAACACATGTTGAAGTTTTGTCCTGCAATCTACAGTTTTGTCAATAGTCCTGAAGGGCAAAATCGTCTTTTTAAAATGCTTTTAACAAAAAAAATGGGTATGGATGCAAACGAAAAAATAAAACAGGTATAAGTTAAAAGGGGGCGACCAAATAGGGCGCCCCGTGCAATTTTTTATTTTCTGCTTCTCAAAAACTACATTTGCTTCTACTCGACAAATATTTTTCCTTTTAAAAGCTAGTCCAAATACTTTTACTTTGGGGGAAAAATGTCACGACCCGGATTTCCCACCCTCGGGAGTCGTGATGGCGCCTACTTGTAGAAGCTAGGCAAGCCACGATCTTAGAAATCATTACTCTTTTTGTTTTTAATTCCTTTTTAACTAATTAAATTAACCGAAAATAAATAATTAAATAACAGCGGAATAAGAAATTTAGCGAAAGTCTTAAATAAAATATAAAACAAAAATATCCTGAAGACCAACACATGCCTCTAACCAGAACCTGGTGTCACAACATCCACGGACTGTCTAGGATTATTACAAATAGGTGTTTGAAAGAAAGAACATAGTCTGTCTCGAGTACAAATGACAATAGAACATAAAACTGATAGAAGAGACGTCGGGCCTGCGAACGCCACCAGGGCTACCTAGGAGTCTCGGACTGAAGGATAGGTCCCAATCTATTGCTGGTGACCAAATGCTACTCCGGGGCCTGGATCTGTGCAAAAGAGCACAGAGTGTAGTATCAGCACAACCGACCCCATGTGCTGATAAGTGCCTAGCCTAACCTCGGCGAAGTAGTGACGAGGCTAGGACCAGACTACCAAATAAACCTATGCAGTTATATAAAGTACAGCGAAAAGTAAAGCAGGAATAAACAAGTAAGGATGGGAGGGGGAAACATGTTGCGGGGAGATAACAGTTCCGAATAAAGCTCAAGTAAGGAAAGGAACAATATAACTACAATGTCAACAAGAAGCAGAAATCAAATAAGTGCACGACATCACCCTTCGTGCTTTTACTCTCGTCCTCACCAAGCAATAACATAATAAAAACGTGCACGGCATCACCCTTCGTGCTTTTACTCTCTTTCCTCACCAAAGCAATTAGAATAATAAAATGTGCACGGCATCACCCTTCGTACTTTTACTCTCTTTCCTCACATATAATCAATAGAATTGGCACGGAATGGTACATCGTGCGGCACGGCATTACCCTTCGTGCTTTACACTCTTTCCTCACAATAACAAACAATGCACGGCATCACCCTTCGTGCTTTAACACTCTTCCTCACACAAACAACTATCACAAACAAGGGGCAAGGGAATAAACATAACAATAATAGGAATCCCGGCAAGGGAACACAATTAACCAATTAAATCCCAGCAAGGGTACAACATTAACAATCTCAACATCCCGGCAAGGGAGATAATCCACAAAGCAACATATATCCCGGCAAGGGAACAATTTAATAACCCTTTTCTCTTTTTCTTTCACTTTTATTTCATAACTCACTTTACCACTTGAGCCAATGCTCCAAAGGATTCAATCATCTCATATACTTTTATAATTCATAATATAACTCGAGCCAATGCTCCATGATGTTCAAAGGTCTCAATTCCTTCCACAAACTTTTTACAACAACTAGAAATCATCACCAAAGCATGAAGGATACAATGAAATCAAGATATTCACAATATAAGGACTCACGGTCATACTAGACACCAACATATAGATATTTGTTACCATGCCTATACGTCGTACACGACTCATACCACATAGCAAATAGGACTCAACTCCTAGTCCCTCAAGCTAAGGTTAGACCAAACACTTACCTCGATGCCTTGAACACAACTCAAGTCTCAATTATAGCTTTACCCCTTGATTCCACCGCCAATTCGCTCGTATCTAATCACAAATTACTTAATTACATCAATAAGTGCTAAATGAATCAACCCCAATGCATGAAAATGAGTTTTCCAAAATTTCACCCAAAAAGCCGAAAGGCGCTCCCGGGCTCACGTGGTCAAAACCCGAGGTTCGAACCAAAACCCGATTACCCATTCCCCCACGAACTCAAATATATAATTTGTTTTGAAATCGGACCTCAAATTGAGGTTCAAATCCCCCAATTTTTAAAAACCTAGGTTCTATCCAAAACACCCAATTTTCCCATGAAAATCTTTGCTTGTAAGTTTAAATCATGTTAAAAGATGTTAAGGAGTGAAGAAAATAAGTTAGAAATCACTTACCAACGTTTTGGAGAAGAAGGGTTGTTTGAAAAATCGCCTCTTATGTTTTTAGTATTTTGAAAAATGAAAAATGACTGAAAATCCCGTTTATTTATACCCCTCTGAGACCTCCTGTGCGGACCGCATTAAATGGACCGCGACCGCACAGGCTTACGTGAAGACCTGCAGTTCAGCACCCTGTGCGGACCGCACAAAGCTGGTTGCGGCCGCACAGCCTCCACCGCGCCCCGCACAAAGGCGACCGCGGCCGCGCTGGCCCCTCCGCGGTCGCACACGATTTCTCGCGGACCGCATTAGAGGGTTCAGAGACCTGCAACTCCTGAACCTGCAACATCTGATTTTCTAAGCCTAAGGCATCCTGGAACCTACTCGAACCTCACCCGAGCCCTCGGAACTCCAACCCAAGTATACACACAACCTCAAAAACATTCTACGAACTTATTCGTGCGATCAAATCGCCAAAATAAAATCACGGACATCGGATTAAACCTCAAAATCCATGAATTCTTTCAAACTTCATAAAACATCAAATTTTCCAATTTAGGTCCGAATCACGTCAAACGACGTCCGTTTTCAACCAAATTTCACATGAAGCACTT